CTCAGCTCTGTCTTTACTTGAGCTTTTTATACTCCATTTTGCTGCTCTGCTGGGGTTAGAATGGGGAAGGGGTGCCACAGGCTTCTTCCTGTGTCAGCCTTCAAGAAAGCTTTCTCCTGAGGCCACTTCTTTTCATTGAGGCTTTGCTAATAGTCTTCTTATTCTTTCATATCTCACACACCCCTGGGCTGGGAGAGGGCAGAAGAGGGGTGTAGGGGTGATAATATCCTTGATTCTCACTGCTGCTTCCAGACCATCCTCCTTTGAAAGCTCATGTTTTTGTGAGGGAGATCATGTACTACCCCCCCCTTATCTATATATCTCTAGGTTTCTAGCCCTTGTTAAATTAAGATTTTTTGGAACTTAGCTCATTACCTTCTGTTGCACATCAATTCCTACCATAATCCTCAAGAGCAATCTATTCACCTATCCTGCCCCCAGGGACTTTTATCTCCACTCTACTTCAAATACTTACTACTGCCAGGCAGGGCTCGATACTCATACCTGTGAGCTATCCTAGCACTCTGGGAGGCTGAAGTGGATGGATTGCCTGAGCTCAGAAGTTTGAGACCAGCCTAAGTAAGAGTGAGACCCCCATCTCTACCAAAAATAGAAAAAACTAGCCAGGTGTGATGGTGCCCGTAGTCTCAGCTACTCAGGAGACTTAGGCAAAGGGGTTGCTTCAGCCTAAGAGTTTGAGGTTGCTGTGAGCTAGGACACCATGGTATTCTACCCAGGGCACACAGTGAGACTCTGTTTCAAAACAAAAGCAAAAACAACCTCCCCCCCAAAACCAACCGCCTTAAGCCCCCAGTACCTACTGCTAAGACCACTGTCTGGTTCTGGCTGTCATTTGAAACAAATCCACTTCAGAATTTTAAACAGTCCATTAACTGACCCCTAAGCTCCCATCTTCCCAACTCTCTTGGGACTTACATACACTACAACCATTATATCACAAAGTTCTTTGGCAAACTGTCTAGTTCCCCCATCCTTCAGCTGTGCATTCTTACCACCCTGCCATTCCAGATCCAGTGGTTGATGACTTAAAAAAACTGCTGTCCCTCCACTGATTTCTTTTTGTTTTTACTTTTTTCTTTAATTATTATTTTTATAGAAACAGAGTCTCACTCTATCACCATTGGTAGAGTGCTGAGGTGTCACACAGCTCACAGCAACCTCCAACTCCCGGGCTTGCCTCAGCCTCCTGAGTAGGTGGGACTACAGGTACCTGCCACAACACCCTTATTTTGTTGCAATTTGGCTGGGGCCAGGTTTGAACCTGCCACCCTTGGCATATGGGGCCGGTGCCCTACCTACTGAGCCACAGGTGCTGCCCACTGATTTCTTTACATACTCTCCCACTAACTCCTCCTTGCCCTACTATCTCAGCAAAAAACCCCTTTATTCTCAAACTGAATTTAAGAATCACAGAAGAAAACCGTAGTCTTACATACTAGTCTTGAAGCGTAGCTGGGCCCCCGATGTTTCCTGCAAATTATCTCCTTCTTGATCCATTATTCTCCTGTCTAATCTTTCAGCATTCCTAACTCCTTTCCTACTCAGCCCTTTCTATATTCACTAATGGACACACTCATTCTTCCCTCCTGTTTCAGAGAAGGTATGCCTCCTTCTGGCTTAAGACTGACCCATCTGTCTCCAGGCATCCTCAAACTATGGCCCACAGGCCACATGCAGCCCACCTAGGACATCTATCAGGCCCGCCAGGTGTTTTTGCCACTGCCGCCTGTCCTGCTTAGCAACTGACTCATCCCGGGGCCCGCAACGGCCCTCCAACGGTCTGAGGGACAGTGAACTGGCCCCCTGTTTAAAAAGTTTGAGGACCCCTGGTCTATACCCTTGATCCCTCTAATCTCTATTTCTTCCCAAGACCTTACTTTCTCCTCTTTTCTACTCCCAAGACCTTATTTTCTCCTCTTTTCTATATTATTTTTTATTTTTTAGGGCACTATTAAAATTTGCTTTAAGTATTTCTTTGGGGAAGCAGACACCACACTTCTACTTAATGAAAAGAGACCTTTATACAGTAGCCTTTTGTTTTTTATACCTATTCTGCCATGAATTCATAGGGAACAGTGGTTCTAGCAGCTCAGGATCCTTTCCATAGGTTTTCACAGAGAGGGCTTCTGCGGCGGGGAGCAGGCTGGTGCTTCAGTTTAACCCAGGTACCTTTCTTCCTTTGGCCTCCTTCCTTCTTTTTCTGATCATTTTCCTTTATGTGTTTCAGGAAGCTATTTTGGTTCTTAGAGTGCTTAATATTCTCAATATGAACATTAATTCTCTTGGCAAGAATCGTGCCCCTTACTTGTTTGTTTATAACCATGCCAACAGCTGTAGACATGGGTAACGCTGTAGACTCTTCTAGTTTTGCCATGGTAACATTTGTGTGGCATGTCTTTTTGAACAAAACCCATTCCCTTGATGTCTACAGTATCACCTTTCTTGTAGAATAACAAGTATGTGGCCAAAGGAACAACTTCATGCTTTCTAAAAGGCCTAGAGAACGTGTATCAGGTGCCCCTCCTCTTTCCCCTTTAGTTCATCATTTTGGTGAATTACTGGGAAGATGGTATCTCTAGCTCACTCTATCACCTGCTGACAAACATCTCTGGGTAGAGTGCAGGGGCATCAGCCTAGCTTATGGCAACTTAAAACTCCTGGGTCTAAGCAATCCTCTTGCCTCAGCCTCCTGAGTAACTGGGACTACATGTGCCCACCATAATGGCTGGCTAATTTTCTATTTTTAGTAGAGACGGAGTCTTACTCTTGCTCAGGCTGGTCTTGAACTCATGAGCTCTAGCAATCCACTCACCTTGGCCTCCCAGAGTGTTAGGATTACAGGTGTGAGCTACCACACCCAGCCCTATATTCTTAATTTCTTCTTCTTAGAAGGGTCAAGTTGTCTGCTGACAAACATGCCCAAAGTGCTCTCTCTTACTCTAAGACGTCTACTGACTTATAGCGCCTCTCATCACTATTTTTCTTTTTTTTTCATCAAACTTCCCTTAATATTCTCACCCACTGCAGTTTGCCCTCACCACCCTCTACTTCTACTGAAGTTGCTCTTGCTAAGATCACCAGTTACCGACTAATTACCAGTCCAAGAGATAGTTTCCAGTCTGTTTTTACTGGAACTTTTTTGTGCTGTTCTCATTTCAAATGCTCTGTCCCTCACAATGTCATAGTCCTTGTTTCCTCTCACTGTGAATGTTCCCTTGTCTCCTTGGTAGGCTCCTCTTCTGTTCCTATCCCCTGAGCTTTGCTGGTCTCCAAGACCCCATCTTTGGTCAACTGTTCTTTTTTTTATTCAACACATACTTCTGAGAATTAGTTATCATACACCCTACATTTTTAGCTACTATTTTTTTTTAATTATGTCAGAATGTTACAGGGGTTCAGATGTTTTAGTTACATGCATTACTTTTCTAACACTCTGAGCCAAGATTATAATTGTGTCCATCTCCCAGATAGTGTGCACGTGCATTGTGCCCATTAGGTGTGAACTGACCTTTCTCTACCTCCTATCTGCATATTGTTAACTCCCAAATATTCAGCTTCAAAGCCTTTGTAAAGCCTTTGTCCGGCAACCATGGACTCGATTCTCTTCCCAGAGAATCAGACCTTGATAGCTACTGCCTACTGGATATCACCTGGGTGATCCCAGGCTCCCTTGCTTCCTTGTCTTCTGTATTTTGTTCCCTATCTCGGTAAGCAGCATCACCATCTATTCAGACACCACATCTAGAAATCATAGCTCACAGCAACCTCCAACTCTTGAGCTTAAGTGAGTCTCTTGCCTTAGCCTCCCAAGTAGCTGGGACTACAGGCGCCTGCCATACACCTGGCTATTTTTTGTTGTTGTTGTTGTTGTAGTTGTTGTTATTGGTGTTTGGCAGGGCTGGGCTGGGTTTGAACCTGCCAGCCCCAGTGTATGTGGCTGGTGCCCTAGCTGCTGAGCTACAGGTGGAAATCTAGGAGCCACCACATCTGCAAATCGAGGAGACATTCTTCACTCCCATCTTCCTCACAATCCTCAGATCTGACTAAGTGTACCTTGTGAAGAGTTTTCAAATCCACTTTCTCTGCTCCAAATCTTCTACCTTGCCTTAATCCAGGCCTGTGTCACTTCTGGCCTGGATCACCTAGTAACCTCCTAAATGGTTTCCTGTGGTTTTATCTCTCTCAAATCCACACTCAATACAGCAGTGAATGATCTATTCAAATCACATGTTCATGTCTTACCTCTAATTAAAAGCCTTCAGTAGCTTCACATTGCTTATAAAATCAACTCCAAACTCTTCAGCATGGATTTTAAGGTTTTCCATGACATAAGCCTTTCTGCTTTTCTCTTCAAAGTCTCAGTATTACACTTTATGTTTTAGCAATTCCAAACTGCATGGAATTCCTGTTACAATCTGTGCTATATGTATTCCTTTGCCCTTATTCATGTTGTCCCTCTTCCTAAAAAATTCTCTTTCCTATACCACTCCTGATATGACTGTTTATTTATGTCAGACAAATTGTCACTTCCTCAAGGAAGCTTCCCTTGAACACTAAGCTTGGGTTACGTTTCCCTTCTTGCTCCTTTCATATTACTTACATCATATCTCTGTCACTGCACTCGGACAGTGTTTTCAATCATCTACTTAAGTGTTCGTCTCCCCCATAACACCTGAGGACAAAAAAATGACTGGGTTTTGCATCCCCATGCCAAACCCAGATGGTGTTCAAATAAATGGCTAATGGATGGATAAATGAATCTTTCTTTGGCCCTCTGGCTCTTTGTTTCTATTATTCTCAAGCCAATCCCAGATCTCCAATAACCTCCCAGGTGCTTAGCCAGGTACACTAAGCTCAGCCCCCAATCCTATTACTAGGCAGAGGCAACATAGGTAGGTCATCTCGCCTCCCAGAGCTCAGGAAGGAAAGGAGACAAAGAGTAAGGAAGGACAGGAGGGCCAGAACTCCGATAAGCTTACCCTTGGAGCACAGTCTGCGCACTGCTGAGGCTGTGCTCAGTGGGAGGCTACAGGATGGCAGCAAGGGCCGGTACCCAGGAGTTCGATGATTTTGAGAGGTGCTGACAAGGTTGGTGGGATTCAAGGTGGAGTCCATTGAGTCTGAGTGTGGCTCTAAGGACCGGGCTAGACTATTCCCTAGGAAAAAGGATTTACCTAAAAAGCAATAAAACAAGAATTAGAGATTGGAAGGACTGCCAGGGTGCTGGCTCCCTGGTACCTGTATGAGTGGAGTAATAGTCAGAAAAAAAGAAAGCCCTAGGCTGGAACTCAGAAGGCCTGTGTGCCAGTCATGGCTCTGATTCTCACTAGGTGACGTTAGTAAAGTTCAATGGCACTCCCTGGACTTTGATCTCCTTAGAGATGCTTCTTCTTAATTAGATGGTCTTTGAGGTTTCTCCTGGTCTGGATGCTCTATCCTTTTTCTGGAAAAGGGAAACCTTTAAAAAATGGAGTTATTCAAGAATGGACGAGACTGCCTTTGACGCAAGATGCTAGAGCAGGGAATAGAGGTGTTAGAGAAGAAATATATGTTTGCTTAGATGTACTTTAGAAGCTTAGAGGCATTTTAGAAGAACCTAAGAGGTACTTTAGAAGCTGATCCTCTGCTCCAGCAGCAGGACATCTCAGAAATGCTTCTTAAAGCCTGGTTAAAGGCTTGCAGGCGAAGGATCTGCTCCTATGTTCCCACCCTCCTTTTGTATTACATTTGCCCTTTTCTACAAAAACGTTTCAAGGAAGCTGGGTTTGTACAGTGGTACATGGGAGACCAGAGTCAGTAATGGAATCTGGCTCTGCCACACAGCCGAGCACTTATTTGAGAACTTCAGTCTCTTCATCTATAACATGGGAAGCCCGTTTCTTCCCAGGGGCTTATGAGTATCAGAAGAGAATGCCTATGAAAGCCTTTGTAAAGAGAATCTCACCCTGATGTTTCTAACCAAGCCCATGGCCCACACTGGGCATCAGTGTCCAAACATTGTCCTATGGAACCTGAAGCAAACTGCCTTTTATGATTGGGTTCTGCCGAAACCAAGTTAGTTCCACAACTCTGGCCATAGTATTCTCTGCTTGTGAGAGGTGTCTTGGTGGTGGAATAAATATTGTCCTTTGTGATTTTTCTTAGTGATCAGGTGTTTAGATAATGCTTGGGATTCATTCAGAGCTGCTGATGGACACTAAATTCAAGCACACTGTCTGGCATGCAGTAAGACCTCAGTGGCAAGATAGTTTAGGATTTTAGAAATACTTTCTAATACTCACCTAAAATTGTCCGGCAACCATGGATTCAAAGTCAAACCTAGCTATTCACCCATACCTCAGGAAGGTTAATTGTTGAAGCCCTTTCCTAGAGGGCTCTGAAAAGAGAATTCTCTGAGGCTTCACAATGGCTACATCATATCCCTCTCCCTTTTGGCAGATGAGGTTTCTGATTCCTACTTTCCAGGAAAGATGACTGTAACAGTGTTCTACTTTGAGACATGAGTAGGAACCCAATCCAGGAGTCAGGAGAACTGGGTTCTGCACCTGGTCTCCTGCCATTATATTAGTGAACCTAAACATGTAGTTTGTCTTCTCTGAGTACCAGTTTCCTCATCTATAAGGTAGGGGATAAATTATCCTTTTTTGTACTGAGAACAGCAAATGAGAAAATGAAATGGGACAGATTTTATGAATGTGAGGAATTGTTTTGCAAAGGTGAAGTGACAAACCTAAACTCTCTGTGATAATTCAAGATTTTACACATTTTCTGCACTTATCAGCAGAGTAACCTTTCTAACCCTCATTTTACTGAGCTAAGGCTGGGAATAGTACTGCCAGCCTCACAGGAGCTAAAAGACTAAAGAGAAATTATAATGACAATATCAGAATTATCATAAGGGCTTACCAGATGCTGATGCAAATCAGTGTTTCTTCCTCTTGGCAATGCTAAGAATGCTGAGATTGGATTCTGAGTTGAAGGGTTTGAAAATCTGGACTGGTGGCACCTCGACTAGGCAAGGTCATTAAATCTTATCCCTAATAAGATGTTACTAGAAAAATGAATCATTATGCTCTAAAGCTCTAGGAGGTCCTAGGCCTCTCAAGTCTGATCAGTTGAGGCTGTCTTTGGTAGGACAATACCAGGATGGAAGACTACAACACCTTTGAACTGTGCCTCACAGAACTTTGGGGTCCCTCCACAGGGTGTCCAACTGAACAGGGCTCTGGTCCTCATCCCGGCTTCTATCAAAACGCTTTGGTTTTAACTTTTACTTGAAGTTTCATATAATCTTACCTTTATATGTACATATATATGTATGTATGTATGTGTATATATATAAAAGAGTTCTGCTAGAACAAAACAAACTGTGAAATAAATGGCCCACGAGTCAGAGGATGGGGCTGGAAGACTTGAGTTCTGTTTCTGGCATGATCATTAGTTAATTATCACTGCCTTTTTGTAGGATTCAGTTTGCCCATATATAAAATGGAGATGAAAAATACTTAACTGTCTGGCGCAGTAGCTCACGCCTGTTATACCAGCACTCTGGGAGGATGAGGTGGGTAGATTGCTTGAACTCGCAGGTTCAAGACTACTCTGAGCAAGGGCCAGATCTTGCTTCTAAAAATAGCTGGGAGTTGAGGTGGGCTCTTATAGTCCCAGCTACTAGGGAGGCTGAGGCAAGAGGATCTCTTAAGCCCAGGAGTTTGAGGTTGCTGTGAGCTATGATGCCATGGCACTCTATTGAGGGTGACAAAGTATAAAACTATCTGACACACACACACAAAAAAAAAAAAAAAGAAAGAAAAAAAGAAAAATCCTTAACTGGCCTACTGGTCTCAGCCTCCAGGTGTTTACTATAGGCTGTGTTCTTTAAAAAACAAAAAAAGAAAAACCCCTAACTTCTTAGAGTCAATATAAGTTAAATTTACTGCTGAGCTATAGTCCCAGCTACTTGGAAGGCTGAGGCAGGAGGACTGCTTGAGCCCAGGAGTTTGGAGGTTACAGTTGGCTATGATGATGCCATGGTACTCCAGCCTGTGTGACAGAGTGAGATCCAGTCTCTAAAAAAAGAAAATTGTGTGTAGATATGCTAGATATATGTTGAACACCCTTTGTGTAGAGCCACTATTTAGGTATGGCATAGAGGTAAACAGATAAGAAGCAGTTCTTCTCACAGCATGGCATCACAGAGTTGACCTTAATAACTAGAGTTCTCAGTGGAGGATGCTCAGAACAGTGGCGAGGTGACTCAAGATCACGGCAAAGGAGAAAGGGCCTGGGAAAGTATAGTGTAAAGTCAAGGGAGATAAATATCCTAAGGTAAGTCATGGGAAAGGAAGAGGGCTAGAGGTATATTTATTATTCTGAAATTCAGAGAGTAGAATAGGGGAGTAGGAGGTATATAAAGGAAGATTTTAGCTCACAATCGAGGGCATTTTAGCAATCAGAACTGTCTAACAATAAAATCAATTGCCAAAGGTGATAGCATGTCATTAGCCGTATGTAAGCAGAGGTCAGATGCCCATACTCATCTGTTGGGCTAGCCACTGATCATCTGTAGAGCACTTTCTACTTCTAAGATTCAAAGAGTCTACATTAATAACCAAGCTTTCCCCTTTCTGGGAGTGAAACAAGGAATAAGAACTGTAGGCCTATGAAAATTCTTGTGTCAGTACAGAAACCCAAAATAATAGCAGAGTCCTTGTGCATACTTAAGTCACTCCCATGTTAAAAAACAAAGTCCTCTCTGAATCACATCCTCTACTATCTTTTCATTCAACAAATATTATTAAATACTTAACCATGTTAACAGCTAGCAAGATGGATACTGACAACGATGAAAAAGATATTGTCCTTCCCCTCATGGAAAATTTAGTCTAGTAGGGAGAATGACAAAATATAGGTAGATAAAAAAAATGAGACACTATCATAAATATTATAAAGGAAAGAAACAGGGTATTAAGACAGACAATAACAAGGGAGTCTCTTTTAGATGGGGTGAGCCTGGGATGTTTAAGCTATGGTCCGAAGAACACCGATAGCTGAAAAGCAGAGGTGTGCCAGACAATTAATGTGCTTCAATTAATTATGAACATTTCAGTTAGCTTAGAACTCTGACGTTTCTATGAGAAAACCTATGTGGGGGTAAGTGGGCATTCTAAGAGAGTTCATAGTTTTTATTTGACTTTAATCACTGTGAATCTTGGGGGTTTTGGCAGGACAACCACTTTATAATTAACCCAGAAGACCTGAATAGCAACGAGAAAGAAAGGCACACGGAACTCATTGTCATGGGACAAATGAACTACTTCCACTAGCAGAGAGAAACAAGGGAAATCCCAAAACAGCAGATCCCGAGTTTAATGCTGGGTGGATTTCATTTATTTTATTTTATTTTTTGCAGTTTTGGCCAGGGCTGGGCTTGAACCCGCCACCCCCGGTACATGGGGCCAGTGCCCTACTCCTTGAGCCATAGGTACCACCCCCGGGTGGATTTCAATTACAGCTAAAATTAATAGTCACTGGGACCAGCAACATCAATACAATCTCTTGCACAATATTGTTAATTTTTCAGAAAGCTAGAAGGAGCTCCTTCTTAGTCCTCAGAAGCCTTATAATGGATCTAGTCCTGTGTGTAGTTCTGAAAAAGGGACAATGCTCTGACACTGCCTCCCCCAGGAATCCTCCCCTGACCTCTTCTTTTACCTTACTCTGGCTCATTACACCTGGCTGGCCAGAGTACCTCTGCTCCCTGCTCTTACCACTCACATGTTCACATATCTTTTTCTCTCTCAGCTTTTTGAGCACAGTGAAGAAGTCTGTTTCATCTCTGTCTCTCCAGAGCCCAGTATAGAATCTGGCACAGAGGAAATATTTAATAAATGTTTGATGATCTAAACTAAACACCTGGTCTAGATTCTTCAAATTGCCAATGTCGTGTCATGGAAGACAGAAAAAAAGGCTGGTAAAGGAAACTGTTCTAGATAAAGGAAACTAAAGAGAAAGATGGACCAATTTAAACAGTAGATGGTCTTTTACTGTATTCTGAATTAGGAAAAAAAAAAGCTATAAAGGATATTACTGGGACAACTGGGGAAAATTCTAATATGGACTGTATATTAGCTGATGGTATTTTATTAATGTCTTTAATGTTTTATTAATGTTAAATTTTTGATTATAGTAATAGTATTGCACTCCTTATTCTTAGATACATACAGAAGTATTTAAGAATAAAGTCTCATCTGCAATTGACTCTTAAATGAGTCAGTAAACAAAAATATGTACATTTTAAGTATACAGATACAAATATACATATACATACACATAGAGAAAGAGATAAAGTCTTACAAAAAGTTAAGTAGTAAATCTAGGTAGAGTGCATGTTGCTCACTGTACTATTAATATTTTTGTAACTTTTCTGTAGGCTTGAAAATTTTCAAAATAAAACATTGGAGAAAACAGTAACAATCTCAGCTTACGTACGGAACCTTAATGGGATATGAAATCTACCTGAGCTTTTAGTGACTATCTGCTATATTGGAAGTACATGGTCAGAAGGGCCAAGACCATACGAGGTGGGCAGTATAGAGACAAGGCTGCAGGAGAGGGAGAAGGCTCCAGTAAACACCCAGTTAATAGAAGTGGTACATACAAATGTCAAACTAGTAGAAGGGTGTAGCCAGACAGAAGGGCAGGAAAATACCAGATCCAAAGCCAAAGCAAAAGAGAGCTCTGGTATAGACTGAGCTCTATGGCAGAAGTTTGGGTAAATAATCAGAAAAACACAGGAAATGATAAATGATCACAGGCAGGGCCAAGGGTCAGTAAGACAGGCAGGAGGCATGTAGGTAGGCAGAAAAGATAAGCTAGGGAGCACAAAGTAGTTTAGGCAAGACTCTGGCTTGTCTGGGCACAGTTAAAATGCTCATTTCAGGGAAGCAAAGAGAAATTCGGGTGAGAGCAGAAAAGTTGCTGAACACCCATTATGAGAAACAGAGTCTAGAGAGCAGAGGAGGGTACACGAGGTTGCCTCAATTTGCCGGAAAATGGGAAAGAAAAGGTGGCAGCCCATGGCAGAATGTGTTATCTCTGTGAGGCAAGAAGAGGAGTCTGGCTGAAGCTCACTTCCTCTTATCTGGTAGCTAAATCAGTGAAATGTAGGTTGAAACAAAATTCCCAAGAAAGATCTTGCCCTAATCCCAAAATACCTTCAGAACAGCAAACCCGTGACATCTCTGCCAATCTCTGAATGCTGCTACCACTGTACTTCTCTTATTCCTTAATGTAAATATTCTGTTTAAGAATTCTGAGTTCCTATTTCTTTGAGAAACCTCTCTTTAGATTAGCAGCTCCTCCCATGGGCATGCTACCTCCTCTTGTGTATCCATTCTTTCAGAATTTCAAGTAGGCCTAACTTTCATTACTGAAACACAGATCAGAGTTCCTGAATGCCAACAGCTGGGGATATTTAACAACTTGCCTTTTGTTTGTAGCAACTCTACTATGCCCAGTCCAGATGCCCAGTGTAACACTCTAACTGCAAGTAAGACATCTTTTCCTGTTCTCAGAGATTCTGATGCTGAAAGACAGCCATTAGAAAAGGCTGAGTGAGAAGAAGTTCCCTCTGAAGAAAAGGATCAGCCAGGAGGTCACAGAAATGGCTGCAGTGACCGGATGGTTTGGTTTCCACAAGAAGATTTGAAATTCAGGTTATCTTTGTGCCCTGCTCGCAAGTCATGAAAGCAACATTTGGGTGCAAAGGTATATCTGGGTGAATAGTCACCTCCCAGCACTTTTATCAGCGGTGACTCTATTATGACTATTATGAAAAGATGGCAGAGAAGGCAATTTGGAAATAAGACTTGTGTAGAGGCAGGTGAGAAGGGGTACCTTCAGGATTAAGCCTTCTCATCAACAGATAGGACCCTCCCCAAACCCCTGAGAACACGGTCTGCAGGACTCTTTTAAAAGGACCTTTCCTTTCTGTCAACAATGACCTACCTTGCTGTGTTTAGGGATGAGCTTTCCTTCCCCTTTCTCTTGTTCTGTGTCCTGGGGTCCAGATTAGAGATGCTGAGTTCCATTTATTCTTTAACCTCTCTCAGAAGTACTTAGTCACTGATCTGGCCATGTGGCATCCGCTTTCCCATTGTGGTCTGGTATGTTAACTGAGAAAGTTATTTTCCAGCTTAGCTACACACAGCAGGAACTTGAAATGACTTGCTAGACTGGCAGTGCTGGGAGAGTTAGGGCCATGTGCCAAAGCCAAGAATGGACGGCCAATCAGCAGGGAGCAAATTTCTCAATGCACCCTCAGACTAAACCTTCCTGCTGGCAAGGAGGATCACTGTGAGGCTTTTGCTGCCACTTTCACACTGGGATAGGTACTCTGAGGTGACAGTGGCTCCACATGCAGTCTGGAGCCCAGAAGAGGAACCATAAATCACCTTTTTCTAGGGATAAGGATCCAGAGGAAATAAGGATAATCCTAGTGATAGAAAACAAAATCCTGAAAAGAAAGTAAAGATGAGAGAAACCGAAAAGTCCCAGATGGTAAAGGTAAGGGACAGAAAATCAGACTTTTGCATAGTAGTTAACCAGATCGGTAGGCCAGAGGGCTGGCCCTGTCCCCAACTCTCAGCCCAGGCCCCATCCCAGCTCCTACCTGGTAGGTACCTGTCGTGGCTGTGGCCGTACTCTGTGGAAGTGAGTGACAAGTGAGTCTGTGTAAAGGGCTGGTTGCCAAATAGATTGTCACTACGAAGGTTGTGGCAGAGTTTCTCCAGGAAGCGGAGGATGTAGGTGATGCTGTTGACTGCTGGGAGGTTGAGGGTGTGCTGTTCCCGGTCAAACATGGCTGTGGAGTTAAGTAAACAGGGCTGAGCACGTCAGCCCAGCAGTGCAGTGTTGGGCAGGAAGAGTCCAGCCCATTGCTTGTCTCATGCTTACCTGGTTATACAAAGGGAATCAGTGCCCCAGGTTTGCTTCCTCCCTCCCTTCCCTCCCCTCCCTTCCCCTCCCTTCCTCAAGGGCTTTGATTTTTGCCTCCAACTCCAAAGGGCTGGCAATTATGGGAGTGGCCAGGCCAGGTCTATTGCACCCGGGGCTCTGGAATGATTTCACTCAACCTATGAAAACAACTGTGAACATAATTGTATCTGTTCCATCACTTGGCTGAGCCTCCTCCAGGAAATTCACGCTGGAGGAATTCACATCTGTTCATTTAGGGTGCTGTTTTCACAAGAATTGCCTAAGAACAGAGAACTTGAGGGGAAGAGGAGAACTGAGCCATTGCCAGCAATGGTGTGGGTACACAATTTCTGATCAATATAAGGATACTAGAATTTTGGCAACATTGGGAACTGTCCCACACTTGGTTTTATTTTACCCTCTATTTTTATTAAAATATGTGTATTTCACAAAAACCAAAAAACCTATATTTTTTTTCTGAGGACAGCAAGGAATGGGGATTTGGGGAGATAGGTCATTCTTGGGAACAAATTTGGGGGCCAAGGAAGAATCATAGAGAGGGTAAAAGTGACAGTAGCTAAAAAGAGGCAGCAAAGAAGGCAGATCCCTGTAGATGGCCTCCAGAAGCAGGAGAACAGGGAGTAGCTTAGACTTCGGAAGGGACATTAATTTCCCAAGCAGTTCCTAGTTTTCTGTAATAATTCGTTCCCTGTCTGCTCCATCCTCCATGCATCCAATTACTCCTTAGCCTGAGTTCCTGCACCTGAGCACTCTGTACACATTTTTCAGTTAGCTACTCACGTTCTTCCTTTTCCACTGGGGTAGTTCCTAAGCCTGTCATTGTCTACTGGCTCTCTCAGCCAGCGTCTGGCAATAACCTGACACATAGAAAGGGCTCAATAAATGTTTGCAAAAGAATACAATTTGGTTATTTATGGGTTCTTTCATGTCAGTTGGTTTCCTGAAGCTGGTTATTACAATTGGTTAGGGAAATGGGGCAGGGGCTTCCGGAATAGCATCACAGTTAAGATCGAAAGGTTCTTGGTCAAGTTTTAGTATGTTTAGTGAGTAAAGAACTACAATAGGACTATATCTAACAAATACAAACATTGTACCCTAATTCTTTGTACTCTCAAATTAACCTGAAATAAAAAAAAAATAAGGTTTTGGATTTAGGAAAACTGAAACAGAAACAGGACATACCAGAAAAAAATAAATATTCTCAATGAGAGCAAAAAACTCTGTACTATTGAATTAAACTCTTAACAGTGGGAAAGAAAGAAGAAATGACTCTTCCCATTCTGCACGAGGATTTAGTCTTCTTATGTTAGGCCTGGTTTAGGACTGGGAAGGTGAGGAGTTAAAGGAATGAGAGAAGAGTTCAATGGTTCCCTGAAGGCATGTGGGAGGCTGTGACAGTCTGAACAAAGTTGCCATAACATAGTCACCTCTAAATTCTTTCTTCAGTAATGCCTTTAAAGCAATATGCTTCTGTATTTTCTGTATAGGCGAAGTTAAACAGGTAGACAGGAAAAGCATCTGTCTAAAGGCTCAGTTAAGCAGAATCTGAACTGGGTATTTTCCTTGGCAGGGGTACATGAAGGCTCAGAGGGGATCTGGGAGTTGGAGGTGAGTGAGGATTTTCTGAGGGATGGACCTTCATATTTCTCCAGAGCCTGCAGGTGTCAAGAAGGAACCAGGATGCCTTGTCGGAAATCGCCAGTTGAGAAGGATGTTCCTCTGGTTTGGAGGCAATACCAGCCCAAGGGTGCTTACCTGAGATAACCTCACCACGGTGGCCCTGTTTGAGGAAGCTGAAGACGGTTTTCTGGTGATAAGCACAGTCGATGCAAGCCTGGACAGCCTGTTGCAACACCACAGAGGCAGGGGCTGGCCCAAAATGATCAGGGAGTTGCTGGACTTTCTTCTTATCTAAGTGGGGGCCTGTGCTGCCATTCTTATTTAAGTAGATACAAACTACAGGAGACAAAGAATTGGAGAAGCTTAGAGTCTCTGGACTAAAAAAGTCAAAGAATAGTATTCTATTCCATATTTTATACCCCAGACTCTGGTCCCTAGCAGAATTCCCAGCAGCTAAGCTGGTAAAATGCTATGGGGGTTAGGAAATGGGGGTCAAGAAAAGGCTGTAGCCAGCTGTCATCAACCCAAATTGTGTGACCAAAGGCTCTGGGAACATAGGCCGCTGGGAGAATAGCCCAGACCAAAGCCAAGGCACAGAATTTGCACTTTGTCTCCTAGGCACTGAAAAGAACATCTAAACAATTCCCCAGATGTGAGTATTTTCATGTTCTGTATTGGGCTGCCTCACATACTCTTTGTATCTTTCACCTTATATGTCTAAGGAGAGACATATATGGAGCCAGGGCAATATTATACATGGTAATAGCAAGAGTATGTGTGTGTGTGCGTGTGGCATTGGACTGAGAATGGTCATGCTGTTGGTCATTTGTATTGGACCTTAGATTCCTTTGTCATCATCTTTTTTTCCTTTTCTTTTAATGTGTAAAATGCATTATTTTATTTCCATCAATATCTTAATATATAAAGCAGAGATGAGTGATTTTTTTTTTCAGAGTTTATTTAGAATTACACAGGGGAAATGAGTTTTGTTAGAAGACCAGCCTGAGAATTTTTTGCTTTGTCTTTTTGGATTATACCATTAAATGGAAATAAATGTACATGAAAAGGATAAAAACTATTAACATCTGATCTATGATAAAACCATTTTTGAAAATGTTATTCTTTAACAAATGCAAAGATATTTCAAACATACTAAATAGATTATCCTTGTATATTCCAATAAACCAGGCCTACATATCTTTTTTTTTAAAGTAAATTTATTTCAGGTTAATGTGAGGGTACAAACAACCAGGTCAAAATATTTGATTAGGTAGAGTCTCTCTGTGGTTATGTCCCCCACACAAAAGGTATGCCAAACACCCCCATGCCCATTCAGTGAGAGCACCCCAACCCCTTCCCCATCCCTCTTTACCCCTCCCCACAACTTGAATTGAAATGAGTTTTTCACTTATGTGGCCATGCATCAGATTGTCTATTGGATTCTTAGTATTGAGTACCTTGGATAACTGCTTTTCCATTCTTGTGATACTTTACTAAGAAGAATGTATTTCAGCTCCATACAGGATATTACAAAAAATGTGAAGTCACCATCTTTATTTACGGCTGAATGGTGTGCATGTACCACAGGTTGTTAATCCATTCCTGAGTTGATGGGCATTTAGGTTGTTTCCATGTCTTTGGTGATTGTAAATTCAGCTGTGATAAACAATCTAGTGCAAATGTGCTTATGATAAAATGATTTTTTTTTTTTTTTGAGACAGAGTCTCAAGCTATTGCCCTGGGTAGAGTGCTATGGCGTCGTAGCTCACAGCAACCTCCAACTCTTGGGCTCAAGCAATCCTCTTGTCTCAGTTTTTCTATTTTTAGTAGAGATGGGGTCTCGGTTTTTTTTTTGCTCAGGCTGGTCTCAAACCTGTGAGCTCAAGCTATCCATCTGTCTTGGCCTCCCAGAGTGCTAGGATTACAGGCATGAGCCATTGCACCTGGCCTAAAATGATTTTTTTTTTCTTCTGGGTAGATGCCTAATAGTGGGATTGTGGGGTCAAATGGGAGATCTAATTTGAGATCTTTGAGGATTCTCCAAACTTCTTTCCTAAGAGTCTGTCTTAGTTTGTGATCCAAACAGTGGAAGAGTGTTCCACTCTCTCTACATCCATGCCAGCATCTATAGCTTTGGGACTTTGTAATGTGGGCTACTGTTACTGGCGGGGAGGGGTCAGGTAATATCTCAGGGTGGTTTTGATTTGCATTTATCTGGTGATTAGAGACGATGAGCATTTTTTCATGTTTGTTAGCCATCTGTCTGTCTTCCTTACAGAAGGCTCTATTCATGTCTCTTGCCCAGTGATATATGGGATTGTTAATTTTTTGTTGTTGATTAATTTAAGTCCTCTGTAAATCTTATTTATCAAACCTTTGTCTGATTTATAATATACAAATACCTTTTCCCATTCTGAAAACTGTCTATTTGCTTTGGTTGTTTCCTTAGCTATACAGAAGCTTTTCCATTTTATTAAGTCCCATTTATTTATTTTTGTTGTTGCAATTGCCATGGAAGTCTTCTTCATAAAATCTTTCCCCAGGCTGATATTTTCAAGTGTTTTCCCCATACTTTCTTCAAGGGTTTTTATTGTTTTGTGCCTTAGATTTAACTCTTTTATCCATCTTGAATCAATTTTTGTGACTGGTGAGAGGTATGGGTCCAGTTTCAGTCTTTTACATGTGGTTATCCAGTTCTTCTAGCACCATTTATTGAGTAGGAATTCTTTCCCCCAGTGTGTGCTCTTGTTTGGTTTATCAAAGATCAGGTGGCTGTAAGATGTTAGTTTCATCTTGTGGTTTTCTATTTAGTTCAAAATGTCTATGTCTCTATTTTTGTGCCAATACCATGCTCTTCTAATTGCTATGGACTTGTAATCTAGCCTAAAGTCTGGTAGGGTGATGCCCTCGGCTTGGTTTCTATTACTAATAATTGTCTTGGTATAGGGTTTTTTTTTCTGGTTCCATATGAAATGAAGAATTATTTTTTCCAAATCTTCAAAGTGTTATGTTGGTATTTTAACAGGGATTGCACTGAATCTGTAGATTGCTTTGGAAAGTATAGACATTTTAATAATGTTGATTCTTCCCAGCCATGAGCATGGTATGTTCTTCCATTTGTTAATATCTTCTGCTATTTCTTTTCTTAGGGTTTCATAATTTTATTAGTAGAGGTCCTTCACCTCTTTTGTTAAGTATATTCCTGGGTATTTCCTTCTTTCTTTCTTTTTGGGAAGCTATTGTGAAGGAAATTGTGTCCTTGATTAGCTTCTCAATTTGGCTGTTGTTTGAATATACAAAGGCTACTGATTTGTGGACACTGGTTTTATATCCTGAGACATTACTGTATTTTTTGATCACTTCAGGAGTCTCATGGTCGAGTCTTTGGGGTTCTCCAAGTATCAGCAAAGAGTGAAAGTTTGACCTCCTCTGCCCCCACTTGGATGGCCTTTATTTCCTTTTCTTGCCTGACTGCACTGGTTAGAACTTCTATCATTATGCTGAATAGTAGTGGCAATAGAGGACATCCTTATCTGGTTCCAGTTCTAAGTGGAAAAGCTTTCAGTTTTACTTCATTCAGTATATTCACTGTGGGTCTGTCATAGACAGCCTCAATCAGTTTAATAAATGTACCACCTATACCTATATGCTTAAGTGTTCTGGTTAGAAAAGGGTGTGAATTTTATCAAATGCTTTTTCTGCATTTATTGAAAAGATCATATGGTCTTTGTTTTTGCTTCTGTTGATATGGTGAATTACATATATGGACTTGTGTATGTTAAACCAGCTTTGTATCCCTGGGATGAAGCCTACTTGATCATCATGTATAATTTTTTTTAATGTGTACCTGTAATCTATTGGCTAGGATTTTATGGGGAGACTTTGTATCTATATTCATTAGTAAAACTGGCCTTTAGTGCTCCTTTTTGAGTTTTTTTCTGGTTTTGATATTAGGGTATTGTTTGCTTCATAGAACGTGTTGGGGAAAATTAATTCCTTCTCACTTTTTTGGAATAATTTCTGCAGTATAGGTGTGAGCTCTTCTTTGAAGGTTTGATAGAATTCTGGTGTGAAGCCATTTGGACCAGGGCATTTTTTTGTTGGGAATTTTTTTATTGTTTCTTAGATCTCAGTGCTTGAAATTGGTTTGTTTAAGAAATCTATTTCTTCTTGGTTAAGTCTAGGGAGAAGGTATTATTCCAGGTATTGATCCATTTCCTCCACATTGTCAAATTTCTGGCCATAGAGTTTTCTGTAGTATTCAGAGACAATCTCTTGTACTTTTGTGACATCTGTTTTTTGTTTCTCCTTTATCTTTCTTTCTTTCTTTTTTTTTTTTAGAGCCAGAGTCTCCCTTTGTCACCCTTGGTAGAGTGCTGTCACAACACAGCTCACAGCAACCTCTAGCTCTTGAGCTTAGGTGATTCTCCTGCCTCAGCCTCCTGAGTAGCTGGAACTACAGGTGCCCGCCACAACTCCTGGCCATTTTTTTGTTGCAGTTTGGCTGGGGGTTTGAACCTGCCACTCTTGGTATATGGGGCCAGTGCCCTACTCACTGAGCCACAGGTGCTGCCCCCCTTTATCATTTCTGATTGAGGTTATTAGAGATTTTACTTTTCTGTTTCTAGTTAATCTGGCCAAAGGTTTATTGATTTTATTTATTTTTTTGAAGAACAAACTTTTTGTTTCATTGATTTTCTGAATGATTCTTTTATTTTCGATTTTATTAATCTCTGATTTAATTTTGATTACTTATTTTCTTCTGCTGGGTTTTTGATTTTATTCTTCCTTTTCCATTTCCATAAGAAGGTTCATGGGGTCTTTCTGCTTTTTGTACATAGGCATCTAATGCAATAAATTTCCTTCTTAAGACTGCTTTTGCTGTATCTCACAGGTTTTGGTAACTTGTAGCTTCATTGTTATGTTTGAGGAATTTGACAATTTCCTTCTTTGTCTCTTCCTAGGAGACATCTATCTCCCTATCATTCAGCATAAGCAGTAGGTGTGTGACCTATGGATGGACTGTCATTCTCTTTGGGTCTCAGGTTCACCACCCATAAAATGAAAGGGCTGAGCCTGAGGACCCTGCACCTTTATAGTTCTACGGAGAAACAACATAGAGGGAAGTGGAAAACAGAACACATGAGGTGGGATGTGAAAGGTAACAGGAGAAAAATAAAGAAAAAAAAATGAAAAGGGTGAACAGGCTCAGCGCCTGTGGCTCAAGTGGCTAAGGCACCAGCCACATACACCTAAGGTGGCGGGTTCGAATCCCCAGCCCGGGCCCGCCAAACAACAATGATGGCTGCAACCAAAAAATGGCTGGGTGTTGTGGC